ATCAATATGCGCTTCATAATTCTGACCTCAGTCATTAGTCTTGATTTTCCTGTGCCCGAGCTTTGTACGATTGAACAGAACTTCGCATAGTATGGTCCTTTGTCGCCGCTTCCCGCGAACTTCATGTTGTTATTTTTCAGGTACTCATAGAAACCGTCCACAGCCTTCCCAACGTATGGTCGGACGAATGAATTGTAAAGGAAGTCTGATTGGTCCTCATCTAGGATACGACTGACGTGAGATATAGCCCAAGTAGATGTCACAAGATAAAAGTCTCTGACCTTCAGCCGAGGGCGCGGGGGGGTCACTAGCTTGAGGTATCTGAAATATATCTGCGTCACCAGCAACTGTCAGCAGAGGGGCATCTATATCGCTGGTACATGCACTCACCGAGGTCAGCGATGTGGGAGAACGAGCGTGTCTGACAGGCGTGGCGGATTATTCCCCGCAGTTCAGGGCGCTGCTGTAGTGTCCCCTCCGCCCATGCCACACCCACATCAAGGTTATCCTTCAGGTTTTCCCGCCTGAGTAATTCACTGGTCGCCCAGATAGTCCCTGTCATGATCAGCTCTATTGCGGCATCATTAGCCCCTTCATCTTCAAGGATCGTCTTCAAGTAGCTAGGGCGAACTCTTTTGAGTACAGTTTGATCGATCTCATCACGGTGTTGTAATGTGAGCGGCAGGGGTGTCCTTGGAAGATCCTGTGATGAAGCTGACATGGTACCGAGTGTGTCAATGTATGCTAGTAAATGATTGAAAGACTGAGATATCGATGATCCAGGTGGCGCGTCTATGGCCACTGCTTTAATAGTCCGCGATTCTGCGCCAGTGACATACACAGGAACATCACCTCTCGAAGGAGACAAAAATGAGATTGGTGGCACAATATTAATATTAATCACTGCGAAAACAACTTTTTAGTTGGACACTAACCCGAGCTTGATTGCTTGGAGATCCCGAGGTAAAACGTACCCTGTTGCTAAGTGGACACAAACACGACCTGCAGAATTTTCGGGATATCTCACGTACAAAACAGAGATATAAACTTGAAGTTATAAACAGATAGGCTCGGGACCAGCCTGGCTTATATAACCACGGACGAGTCGAGTGATGTAGCCCAAAATTCCATGGTCACGAGTCTAATAAACAGACCCTTAGGAACTTTGACAGCCTCTGAACACCGTGCTAGGATTCTCCGTGCCGCCTTTGTCTGATTCTCTTAGAGCTTGAGGATCACAACTAAATGCTATACTGATTTCTGTCATGGCTTTTGCGCCCTGTGATTCGTTCTATTGAACAATTTATCGAGCTGACACTGTACTACAGAGAAGCTTGGGTTACTGCCATAGGCCCATAAAGCCAAGGCCAAAACTTGAGAACGGTCACTAGTACTACGTCCAGCCGTCTCTCCATGAAAATCACGTTGAAGCTCCCAAAGAAAGCATCTGATGCCTCGTCTACCAGGTCATGCTCATCATCTAGGTCTATCTCGTCGTCCATCTCCGAGAAGGCCAAGTCACTTAAAAAGGCTGTCACCAAGGGTGCTAAGGCTCTGGCCCGACCCTTAAAGAAAGTCAAGCAGTCATTTGCGTCCCAGTCTCGATCGAAATCCACAGACGCCATTGATCTCACACGATCACGCACCAATTCACTGACCAGTGGCGATGACAACACAACGACAAGTATATCCGATCCTGATCCTGATCCTGCTGCAGATCTCAGTGCGTTTTTTTCCATTCATTTGTAAATATCTAATTAGACGATTATACAGAGGCTCTCCAGAAGATTTGGCGGTCACCTATCTATAGCTTCTTTTCAGCTGATGTTGCAGTTGTTGTCCAAGTCGTTGAATCACTATTCTTGTTCATATACCCGCGGTGCTTACGGGTCGGTGTGTACCCGTACCCGTGGCGGGTGCGGTGTTGGCGGGTACGGGTACGGTGTTGAGTTTCCGACCCGCGGTGTTACCCGTGCGGAACCCTAGTCCTGAGCCTATGCTTCAACATCATTTACTCAACTTTTTGACCATTGCGAAATGCCTCACAATTTTGTTGTCGCAAAATTTATGCCCAGCGTTCGGCTCGTCGGACCTCTGGCTATGGAATCTTACAAGCTACTTCCCTGTCAACTCGCCCCTTTCTGGCGTTGCGGATCTCGCGCACCGACATTGGGCACGACCAACATTGGCGTGATGGAGAATTTTTGTTTGCTATATCACCTCAGAAGCCAAGCGGGGTGAATGAGGGGTGCTACTTCGCTCTTGGATCGTCGCTGGACAAAGGCAGGAAGATGTTGCATGTTGATCCCCCCTTACATTCAGTAGGGGGCACTTTCTATGTCCATACATTTCCGAAGCTTCCAGAGCATCTCTACACCGAGCCACTAGCTTCAGGGGCTCTCCTCCCGAAGTTTTCAGAGTTTCTCAAAGAGTTTCGCAACTTTAAGCAGCCAGTCTCTGTGCCAGTGGCTCACCTCCCACATCAACTTGAAGAATCTAGTTACCTCACATTCTGTCGTTCGGTCTTGGATGACTATGACAGAATGCTGCAAGAAAACTATACGCGTGAGGAACGCTCATCTGGTGGTAGCGAACCGGTGGGTGACAAATGGTATCAGTGGAATACCGGGCAACATTCGCAAAGGGAGCTCGGAGAATATGTTTTCGAATATCTGGAACCAGAGAGTTTCAACCTCTCTGCTGTCGAACCACCGTCCATTTATCAAGATTTACTTCTGTACAAGCAGTACGTTGCCTCTCTTCAATGCATCTTGCTACCCTTACTCATTCCAGACTTACTGCAGACTATTCATGGGCGGGTGTAACTCTTGCTGTGAACCGTCTGGGCTGTGAAGTTGAGAAATGTAGGTCACTATTATATTTCTCGCAACTTCTAACGGAAAATTCACTTTCGTAGCTTGATCGTCCGCACGAGGCTCGGTGGAGCAGTCTCCTCCTTCCGGATTCCTCGTTTGGTGGGAATGTACCCACCTTCGACGGAAATATTAAGGAATATGCTTTAATACTCTGGTCGATGAAGATCCCCTTTGACGGTGACCCCCCTATCAGCTCGCAATCGTCAGACACTTGGTACTTAGATGATGATGAGCCCGGTGTCGGGCTCGAACTCGTCCCAGACTCCACATCTCCTGTGTCTGCACCATCCACTAGAGTTATCGCCTTTGACCTCTTTGGTACCATCTTGGTGAGTTTTCATATGTCAGCCTCACACATGCAAGTTGCTCACACAATTAGGATCGTGACGGCGCCATAAATGACGCTATGTGTCTGCTATTGCCGACGCATCCCGACAGACACCGACTGTCTCGATTGTATCTTGAATGCGAACTGATGAGACACAGAGACAACTCTGATGCACCATATCCCTCCATCGTGTGGCAAGCTCTGGAGGATGTCTGCATGTTTCTGGAAGTGCCGCTAAACGAAGTCGTACTCCATGAAGCTGTCCAGACTATACTGCAACCTGGTTTGTATGCTGATGCAGAAACAGCTGTGAGGACGCTGCTGGATCAGGGTTATGTGCTGCTCGGACTTCCGATCCCAGGATGCGAAGTCATTTTCACTTCCCCAACTTCCATCTGGCCTCAATATCGATGATGAATCTGCTCCACTTTCGAATCTCTTTAGCCAAAATCATTCCATCTTTTCGGGCTTCTTGGAACGCTGTCACTTAGCATGCAGTACTGCCGAAAAACAGCAGGTTCTTGTAGTGACATCTAGTTGTTACCAAGTGATGGAACCGGCAAGCATGGCGGGTTTCCCAACAGTACTTGTCCGACGTCCTGGAGGCCTGGGATCCGCCTAGTCGACCTCAGGACAAGTCACCCTACCTTGGTGATAGACGGATTGCAAGCTCTACCGGTAAAGCTGCAAAACACCTCGCTTGTTCATTGTCCTTTACCGCCTCGGAATCAACCTCCTATCGGCTACACATTGCCATCGCGCGTCTGTGGCATGTATCAGATGACAAAATTGTTTGGAACTGGAAGCTCTGGTACGTTCCACATAAATACTGTTCTGTTCGCACTCACTGGTGGGCTGTGACATTACAGGATATGTTACGAGTGCTTTTCACGTCCTCACTGGCTCAGAAGTCGTACTCAAATTGGGGACTGCATCGGAAGACATGCCAGACATGCCTTGCGTAGTACGTTACGAAGCTCTTGTGTATAGCCTCCTGCGTGGCCACCCAGGCATTCCATCGTGTAAATGGAGTGGCCTGGATCGAGGATCATATGTTTTGAGTCTGGAACAACTAGGCGTGAATCTCGAACAGCTCCGCAGACTGTCGAGGGGAAAGCTTTCTTGGAAGACTGTAGTTATGCTTGGAGTCCAAATGGTAAGTGTGTCGAACACTCGGGCCGGTCTGATATTCATTTTTGTCAGTTCAACAGAGTCGAATTCGCCTATTCGCGAGGAATCATTCTACGGGACATCAAGCCGGACAATTTCGTGATGGGCGTCGGGGAAAAGTCTCACATCGTCTATCTATTGGACTTTGGCTTGGCTAAGCTTTACGTCAACCCATCCACAGGAGAACATATACCATACCGTGAAGGTCGCGTTCCATTGGGGACCATGCCATTTTCGAGCTACAATGTGCATTTCGGACGAGGTTCGTGAACATCATTCTCATTCTTGCTCGAGGCTAACGAGCGAGGAGCAGAACAAGGACGGCGAGATGATCTTGAAACATTGGGGTACGTCCTACTGTATCTCTTACATGGCACTCTTCCCTGGCAAGAAATCTACGCACCAAGCAAAGAGGCCGGTTTGCGTCGAATGGCAGAGATGAAAGCTGGGTCGACAGCATTTCGTGATCTGCTCGCGCATTCTCCTGCTGAGTTCACGACGTACTTCGATCACTGCCGTGGTTTGAAGTTCGAGGAAAAGCCGAACTACGCGTTGTTGAGACAATTGTTTAGCCAGATAATAGAGAGGGAGGGGTGGACAGGAGATACGAGGTTTGATCCACTGGAGAGAAGTTCCGACAAAGGTACACTAGTACCAGAAGAGTATAAATTAGATGTCCGGTTCATAGGGGGTGATTTGACCACGCTATGATTCCTCGCTATCTTTGGCGGAAGAAGATACTCTCGAGCCTGAAGGTAATCGCTCGGTAATCGCTTTGTAGAAGTGATAGCGAAAGACTCAAATTCCGCTGTTTTCAACCAAGGCCTTGAAGCTAAGTAAGATTTTAGACAATCAGTAACAGAACGTCACAGAAATGTCACATATGGGTATGAATCTTAGTAAATAACCACTCCCAAGAATTTGAACCAGTCATGGTCAAGGCTTTGATCCTCATTGCAGATGGAACAGAAGAAATGGAATTGTAAGTTACATGATATAAATCATCCCCCAAATCAAAATCTAATGCCGCATCACTCGGTGGGTGCACATGTAGCACAATTGCATACGATACGCTCGTCCGCGCAGGAATAGAATGCACATCTGCATTTGTCCCAAGGGGTCTCTCACCATACGGATCTTCTGACACAAGTCCTCCACTTGCAGTTTGCTCGAGGCAAGTGAAGATTCTCCCTGATGTCACCCTCGACCCCCTTGCTGCCGGTCCGGTGGGCATTTTTCATCTATTTTGAAGCGTGTCCGAGGCCAAGCTCATGGTATCCTACTTTTGCAGGAGAAGTACGATGCCCTTATCATCCCCGGTGGCATGGGGGGTGCCGTGACGATGGCAGGGTCGACAGAGGTACAAAACCTTGTTCGTTCTTACTACAACCACCCAGAGAAGCGGATTGTTGGCATGATATGCGCAGGTATAATCTTATTCGATTATAGTATTCGTGATTGATGAAGTTTATGTACGTTTTGCAAGGTTCCAAGGTCGCGATCACAGCAAAGCTCCCTGGGCAACCAATCACGTCGCACCCATCTGTCCAGAACGAGTTCCCAGACCGTGAGTCGTGGTGAAATTGGCGAGAAAGATTGGTGTAGCTTTTCTGTTGCGCTAGATTTTGACTACAAGGAGCAAAATGTGGTCGTGTCGGATGCTATTCTAGGCAAGGCAACACTCGTCACAAGGTAGGTTAATATCGTATTTTGTTAGCCAGGGGCCCTGCTGACCTCGACTTGGATCTCTAGCCGCGGACCAGGTGAGTTGTACTCCACTTTGCCTGTTCGTTGTTTCTTTACTATTACTGAATAGGAACTGCGTTTCCTTTCGTATTCACACTGGTCGAGCTCTTGTGTGGGAAGGAAAAACGCGATGAAGTTGTAGGACCTATGATCTTCCCTTCCGGCACAGTGGTCGGACAGCATGCGGTACGCCTTATCCGTCTACCGACTTCATGACTTTGATCACCTTTCCTAGATTTAATCCGAGTCCGAGACACCAAACTCAATTACCCTCCTAAGCAATTTCGCGGGTTTTGCACCTGCTGCCAATAGCGGGTTGTTATCTTTCTGAAGAAGTCTCTACTATCTTGGAAATTCCCTCCGAAGCTGCATCCCTTGTGTATCACTTGTCCTTCGGCAGCAAAGCTCAAGCTTGTCACACAACTCATCGTATATGTTGAATTCAAATCGTATTAACAGCTCTTCATGCGCTCTCTGAAGAAGTCTTTCACGAAGGCGGGAACGTGATACTAGCACAGGTTGACTCCCATGATGCACCTATCCCTTCCGTACTTGTATTGCTCTACCATTTCCTCTGGTCCCAGGACTCTAGGACAACATGATAATCAAGGATTAATAACTCCTTTGCTGTTGACCGATTTCTCAAGCATATAGCTGGCAACAGTCTTCAATTTTTTCACAGCAAAACCGACAATTGTTCAGGTGCGATTCGGAGGAAGATGTCTCGAACAGCCACTTGATATTAGGTGCTTCGAGATTGCTGGTGGGTATGTCAGGAAGGGTGAGAGCGTAATCATTCTCGAACGCAACATCCGAATTCAGGTCGAGCGATTGTGATTTTGAGTCCATGACCTTGCTTGAAAAGCTGCAGTCACTTTAGGTGAGGAACGATACAAAAGTATCAGGGTAGCAACACTTACATTCCTGATGGCAGCTCGGCCGAAGGCTCATGATTTGTCTTCTTTCTGTCTTGCTATCAGATGACAGGCAGAGTCTAGGGCAACACAACTTACTCCTCTGTAGGTCGTACGTTATCATCCTCTGGAGAACGTCGCTCAGCTGAGCTGTTGTGGGCGCGCTGATCCTCAGCGCCGTCAGTGCCTGATGCTTGTGACATCCCTACTGTATTGCATCCCAAGAAAAGCTAGTGAAAATGGGGAGGGTCTGAGGTGAACAGATAGAGTAGAGTGGTGGCACGCAGAAAGTCGAATAGGCGGCCGCGACCAATGACGAACACATGCTTGAGAGCGTTGACGCTGAGATTTTTCACGACGGGCCAAATGCAGTCACTAGCGTAACTATTCCAACCAAGTACCTTCACGAAGTCGTCCTATGAGCTGGCATGCAAGGATTGGGTCCTTATTCGACTACCATCAGCGTCTGTCCAGTTTATGAGTTGTCGAAGACTTTGAAGTTCAAAGTGCCGTGAGTCAGTTACGTAGTCGCTTGAGAGTGTTGAAGAGGCGATTAAGGCGTATTTCTTACTTCCAATCCTCCGCGATTTTTTTTTGCTTGTCGCATGCGAGCTCTCTTGCACGCTGTGCAGCGAATTCATGGACTTTCCTGTAGGATAAAAGTTGTCCAGGGTGACTCGCATTTGACTCGGATAACGTATGGGCCCAATCTTATCGAGTCATACCGAAACCGGGCGGTCAAAAGGCCTTTAACCACCATTTCTCGATATACCACGTCTACAACTATGAGCTCTCTAGAATCTGTAACCAAGTCCCTTGCTGGGCTGTCAATCACACCATCCGCCAGCATCACTCATGCTGAAACAAATTCCCCGGCATCTTGGCGAGAAACTCTACTTGCAACCTCATCTGCGCCAGAATCATTCGAGCTGATCAAAACGCTCGTCTACAAGCCGAAGACGGCAAAAACTGCGATTCCTGTCCCTGTCGTCGTCATTGCCCGTGAAGAGACCGAGACGAGCTCATCGGCGCTCGGTAAGAAGCTTAACCTGAAGGAGCTGAGGTTGGCATCAGAGGATTTGCTAGCTGAATTTTTCGCGCTCGATAAGAACTCCTGTATGTCATTTCTTATGATGTTGTATAACTAATCTGATTTACATGGACGATCAGTGTCGCTACTTTCATTGACTAGCGAGACGTTCCCAAAAGTTGTCACTGTGATTGATGCGTCGATCACGTCCTCTTCGTCAACATTTGCGTTACATGCGCTATCCTCGAGTGCAACTGTCTTCCTTTCTGGACAGGATATACTCTCTTACCTCCGAAAACTCGAAACTGAAGACTTGAAAGTTCAAGAAATCGACTTTACTTCCCTCAAGTCTGACGCTGCTGTGGTTCCTCCAAAACCTGCAGCAAAAGAGAAAGAGGTCGCAAAAATCGATGGCGCCGTTCAGATTGCCATCGGTGTCAAGAAGGAAGTTGATTTCTCTGCTTGGTATCAGAGCGTAGGTGCCTTGATCTGATTGCCTTGATCTAGAACTTACTTGTGCGTGCTAGGTCTTAATAAAAGCAGAAATGCTTGAGTACTACAGTGTTAGTGGGTGCTACATCTTGAGGCCGTGGTCGTACAGTATCTGGGAGGAGATCCAAGGTATGAAACTTAGTTTTCGACTGATCCCGAATGCTAACTTAGGTGTATTATAGAATGGTTCAACAAGAAAATCAAGGCAATGGGCGTCCAGAATGTATACTTCCCTATGCTTGTGTCACAAAAGGTGCTCGAACGCGAGAAGGATCACATTGAGGGTTTCTCTCCGGAAGTCGCATGGGTTACGAGAGCGTAAGTGCATAAAGAAGCCAATGGACTGCGATATTGATAGCGTAACAGTGGGAGCTCTGACCTTGAGGAGCCGGTAGCCATTCGCCCGACGTCTGAGACTGTTATGTATCCTTGTAGGAGCAATTTCTATTGCCTTCGAGAGGGCAACTTACTCATTATTCGCAGACTATGCCAAATGGATCAAGAGTCATCGAGACTTACCAGTGAAACTGAACCAATGGAACAACGTCGTCCGATGGGAGTTCAAACATCCGCGTTAGTCCTTTTACTCGAACACGGGCGGTTGATCGCTTATCATTTTGTTCAGAACCGTTCCTCCGTACTCGGGAGTTCCTGTGGCAAGAGGGCCATACTGCTCACCTCACCAAAGCTGAGGCTGATAAAGAAGTCCGGGAGATCCTCGACTTGTACCGCCGCGTGTATGAGGAACTCCTTGCTGTCCCTGTCATTCCTGGCATCAAGTCCGAGAAGGAGAAGTTTGCTGGTGCTCTCTATACCACCACGATTGAAGGCTTTGTTCCTTCCTCGGGCCGTGGTATCCAGGCTGCCACATCGCATTGCTTGGGCCAGAACTTTTCGCGCCCGGAAATGTTCAACATCGTGGTCGAGGACCCGAATGATCCCACTGGCCAAGGCAAGACCTTTGCATGGCAAAACTCGTGGGGATTGTCGACCCGGACAATCGGTGTGATGACTATGGTGCACGGTGACAACCAAGGCTTGGTTCTTCCTCCGCGAGTTGCATCTATCCAGGCCGTCGTAGTCCCGTGTGGTATCACAGCAAAGACTAGCGACGAGGATAGAGCCAGGATCAACAATGCATGTGATGACCTCGCAAAATCCCTTATAGATGGAGGTATTCGGGCAAGGGCAGATCTTAGGGAGGGGTATACCCCTGGATATAAATTCAATGACTGGGAACAAAAGGCATGCTCCTTACCGTTGGCGTAGATCGCTAACCTGACATGTGGTCTGTTCCATGAATAGGGTGTTCCCCTTCGTCTGGAGATAGGGCCGAATGACCTTGTGAAGCAGCAAACGTTGTCCGTGCGCCGCGACACCGGTGAAAAGGTCCCTGTTGCTCTCGCTGACCTCGCCGCCACGATCCCGAAGATGCTTGAGACTATCCAGAACGAGATGTTCCAGCGTGCTCTCGCTGAGTACAATGCGCATGTAAAAGAAGTCACGCGATGGGAAAACTTTGTGCCTACATTGGACAGCAAGTGCATAGCTGTCATTCCGTGGTGCGAACGTGAAGCATGTGAAGATGACATCAAGGAGCGAAGCGGTAGAGCGTGAGTGCTTTGTGCAGTCTCTTATTCAGAATCCTCTTGGGAACCTCTGAGATTTAAATGGCATCTAACAGTATATTTTTGAACAGTGCGGAACCGCAGGACGAACGCGCCCCGTCCGCCGGAGCCAAATCTCTTGCTATTCCGTTCGAGCAGGAACGTTGGTCTCCTATCAAACCGGGAGAAACGAAGTGCGTTGGGTGTGGGCAGGATGCAAAACGTTGGACCATGTTTGGGAGATCCTATTAGAAGGCCTTGCATAGGGTTATATCGTTGGACCACGTGAGAATAGAATTGCACAAAGAGGTTGCTCTGTTCTTTGATTTACAAACAGAGTATATATACACGGCCTTGGCTGAATCATGGGTTGCGTTCAATCGGCGGGCCGGTGCTTAACGTTACAAGCGCTGTCAAGACTGCATATGGTGCACTGATCACCACCATATGCTTTGGTGTTAGACGCCAGAGCGGAAAAATCGCAACCATAACTCTGGTCCAAACAAGGCTGTGGCGGGAGGAGCTTCGTAGCGCATCTTGCTCCGAAATTTGTATTGTGGGCTGAAGAGTTTTTCTGGCTGGGTCGGGTCAAGAAGTATCTTCGTGATAATTGAAATTACACACTCGACAGGTTGAAGAAAATGCCGCTTGCACCTGCGTCAACACGATCCGGTTCAAGTTATGACAGCATCGGATGATGAACTTGAGGGCATGCGGCAGGTCGAGTCTTACCATACAAGACGCTCAGGTTCTCAACTGCAACGCAGCACACGACTACAAACGAGTTCCCAAAACGCTAGGGAGGGTTTTGGATCATGTATAGCCGTAGCCATGCTCCTTCGAAACCATGAAAAAACACTCTCAAATTTGTGTATTACCAAGGTTTTGTTCCTTGTGCATTTTCACAAGCTTGATGGATAAGAAACCGGGTAAGATATCGAGGCGCTGCACAAGGGTAGCGGTGACTAAATAACGTTGAAGCGACTAGATATCGTATCTTGCTTTGGAAACCGGAACCGGGCGATAGCCGAAACTCTTTCTTTAGTGATAGTATGTCGGCAACGTACACGATGTTGGCCGCCTTGCTTGAGCCCGCCGTGCGGCGCTGGTAGGACCACTGAGTTGAAGTCACCTGACAATGCGGTGATCAGCCTGAGATTTGAACTGAAGTTCCTGTGCTATCTCTTTCCGCTTAGACTCCACCGCTTCAGAAAAGCTTCTAGGTAACTTAACAAAGAAATGAAGTTCTCGTATCGTTTGACGGCATCTGTGAGTCACAAGCGGCGAAGATGTGCCAATTACCGCGATAACTTGGTAGCACGCACTAACGGACACAAACTAGATCCGTGGGGGCAGTTCGACAAGCAAGCCATTTCGTGCTTACAATTAAAACATACTACGCATGAAACTTGGAGATGCGGCGGATCTCGCCTGCAGTCAGCCTCAGGTCTCAATCCCATGTCTAGATATGAAGTTATTATTTACATGGGAAGCCCAGCAATTTTGCAACAGCCAACTCCTGAGTTCCAAAGTGACACCGTGATGCGGCCAGCGCGTCGCTTGTCAGCCAAATTTGTTGCACTCGCTTAGGTCTGGAGTCACTAGGGTACTAAATTCCATTCCATCAATTCATCAAAATTCACTAGCTGGCAGCTGCCCCGCATTCTCCGCATCTCATTGTACATGCGGACTCCATTTCGAAGGCCCAGTTTACTTATGAACAGGAATACCATATGGTGTTTCGTTGTTCACTTGGCTAAATGGGTACGTAACATCGAGCGTCAGTTGTTGGGTTCGCGCTTGATGCCGAGTTACCAACTGAACAGGTTTGATGGCGTCAGCATTATACTGATTTGTATTACGGTCTCATGACCCACGTTCCAATTTTGTGGTTCAATTTCAGCCCCACAAGTTCCATGCGGTCGGTGCCTGACACTGAATATAATGCAGCGTCCCGACCATATCGTGATCTCGTTCCCCGTCTTCACTCCCTCCCGTCAACATGGGCAAAGGTGTAAGTTGCGCTTTGTTTTCAACCCTTGCTACCGTGCTCAACGTGTCCAACAGTACAGTGCACGTATCGCCTCGAATCCAGTGAGTGATCATAAGCTCCTAAAGTGTTCATACTTGGACGGGATTCTAATTCACATCATAGTATATCGTCGGTACATTCGCATGTATCGGTGGAGGCCTCTTCGGTCTGGACATATCGTCCATGTCCGCAGTGTTAAACGTGAGCCCGTGATCATCCACGCCTAACTCCGACGATGCTGATGCATTATGCTCTGGACAGAACCCCGCATACGCGAGCACTTTCAACAACGTGCGTTTGATTTCTTGATAACCTTTTGTGTTTGATTCACAAAATTTTTGTGCAGCCCACCGCGAACGCACAGGGTGCCATCGTCGCTTCTATGCCTGCTGGCTCCCTGATCGGAGCCCTTTCTGTTACCTACCTTGGTGATAAGCTTGGGCGCAAAAAGACGATCATCCTTGCTGGTATCTTCTGGGTCATTGGTTCTATTCTTCAGTGCGCCTCGGTTGTAAGTGCATTATCCTGCCATACCATTATTTCTCTGTTAAGATCTGCTTCAGAACCGTGGCATGCTTGTCGTTGGCCGTATCATTGCGGGTCTCTCCGTCGGTATCTCTTCCACCGTTGTCCCTGTCTATCAATCCGAGATTACTGCACCTTCAATCCGTGGTCGCCTGGTTTCCTTCCAACAATGGTCTATCACTTGGGGTATCTTGCTTCAGTACTTTGTTGAATTCGGTTGTTCATACATAAACGGCAATGCCTCATTCCGCATCCCATGGGGCCTCCAGATGATCCCCGCCATCCTGCTTTCTCTCGGTATGCTAGCCTTCCCTGAGTCCCCCCGTTGGCTCGTCGATAATAACCGGTATGCATCCCTTTTATATATACCAAACTCGTGTCTTATCCTTATTCACAGCGAGGCAGAGGCTTTGGAGATTCTTGCTGATCTTCACGGTGGAGGCAACCAGCAGGATGAACTTGTCGTCCTCGAGTTCGAGGAAATTAAGGCACAGGTTTACTTTGAACGAACTGAAGGTGCCAAGGCCTGGTCAGACCTCCTCAAGCGTGGTGTGATGCGCCGTGTCTTCCTTGGCACGTCTCTCCAGATGTGGTCTCAGCTTACCGGTGTGAATGTTATGATGTGAGTCCCCTCTCCAGCCTTTGGTCACTCAATTCGTTTTTACACCCCAAACAGGTACTATGTCGTCTACGTCTTTGAGGGTGCTGGTCTTACTGGTCGTCGCGCGAATCTAATTGCAGACTCTGTGCAATATGTCCTTAATGTCGCCTTCACTGGTAAGATTAATCTACTTTGGTCAGCGACGATGATTGTAATGCGCTTGAATTTTAGTCCCTGCCATCATTTACATCGACAAATGGGGACGTCGCCCGATGTTCATCTACGGCTGCCTCGTCATGGGCTTCTGGCTCTACCTCGTCGGTGGTCTCCAGGCCCGCTTTGGTGAATGGGGAACTGTCGACGGTACTGGTAAGTTTATCGTTTAAACCTCTTAACTTTCTGTAATGCTTACTTCTTTCTTAATCAGCTACATGGGTGGTAGTCAACAATCCCGCCGCCACAAAGGCCATAATCGTGTGTTCCTACTTTTTCGTGTGTACCTTCGCTATTTCGATGGGTCCTGCCTCTTGGGCCTACCCTGCCGAGATCTTCCCCATGCGTGTGCGATCCAAGGCCGTCTCTCTCTCCACGGCCACGAATTGGTTGTTCAACTTCGCTTTGGCATGGGCTGTACCCCCGATGCTGAGCAACATCCAGTGGAAGACATATTTCGTGTTCGGGACGTTCAACTTTGCAGCCTGCATCCACTTCATCTTCTGCTTCCCTGAGACAGCACAACGCTCGTTGGAGGAGATCGAGGATGTGTTCTCACAGGGCCACGAGTTCAGCGCCTGGGCTGTGTCGAGGTCCGTGGGCAAGAAGGACTTGGCGGATGTACTTGCAAACAAAGCGGGGAAGGAATCACTCGAGAAGGAGCATGCTTAAAAGACTGGAGGCACTTGCTCATTTTCTGACTTCTTGGTAACGTTTAATAGTTTACTGTACTTGTTAAGCACTACTCTTAGCATACGCGTTTAGCGTCAATCAATCCACGATGATACAACACGTTTTGTGAACTTGAATTTGTGAATACAACCCACAATGATTTATCACAAACATACTGAGTCTGAGCAAGTGCATTTCGGATGCAGTTCCTACCTCTTTGCCTTGGCATCCGCTGACCGCTGACATGCCAAATACTTGCAGGCTATCGGGCCGTCACAAATACCCTACCTGGATTATCGATTACCCTACCCTAGTACATCTGGGCCGCCATTGCGGTTCGCCGCCCAAGCTCCTATTTCTAGATCCATTCCCGCATGGCAACCAGCACAGCATATAGGTTCATATGGGCCTTGTGTCTATTTCATGATGAAGTGGGGAACTTTTTACCTGTGTCGCATATGGCACGGTACAAGCCCCACGATGCACATATGGATTTGGATGATGGTAATTTCAAGACTCGTAAATGATTATCAGTACGGACCATAAGTTCTCACAGTCACCACTTGACTCAACACTTGAACGTCATGCTACTAAGTGTTTTTGTTTTTCAGTCCGACTCTTACATGTTGCCGCAGTCGGATAACAGAGACGATGCTCCGGACTAGTCTATACTCATCTCGAACTTGCGACTTGTGCGATTCCAAGGAAATTGAAGGGAAAATGTCGAAAAGTCGTGGATACAATTGTTAACCCACATACATCGCTAATGACGATGATCATATCGATCAATGATCAACGTAATGGTGAGCGTCTTCCGATTATCATATATTACAGCGCTCGCAGCAAACTTATGTAACCTCTCGTTCGTCGCCCAGCCTTAGAAATGCGTTTACCATTTCACATACAACTTCCCTTCCTTACCTTGCAGATTTTGCTTTCCTTCGATTTATCGCCTCCATGGAACTTATTTGGTGCATTCGCCATCGCCTTGATGTGCTTGCTCATCATCAACCCGAGCGTGTTCGTGAGCTTGAACATTGACACTGGCGTCGGCTACGTAGACTACATGCTAGGATCCACCATCGCGAATTATGCTGTACACAGCTTTTATTTGCTCTTGCTGGAGAGGCCGTTGCAGAACTACAAGTCTGTGAAGAATAGGTCCGAAAAAGTACACGAAAACTGGTGGAAAAGGTTCCTCCACGTTGCATCTGTCCATGCAATCTCCGCGGGGAATTGGATGGAACCATCAGGTGCGTTCTTTACAATCCTTGCGGTTGCAGGTCGAGCTCATTCTTTATCTCCAGGTGAACCACGTTCCTGCTGCCCCACGACAATCTAGATGTTTGTTCATCCTCATTTCCTCCTTGCGTGCTGCCTGCCACGCAGTCCTCTTTGAAGTCGCGCGGTTGTATGTTTGGTACAACCCTGCGTGTTCATCGGTTACGGTTGGGACACGAAGCTATGCTGCGCGGTGTGCCGACACAATTGCATTCATCGGGTTATCATACTGGGGCTTGAACGCTTGCTACTTTGCAATGGCAGCGGGAAGTGTTGCACTCGGACTGCACGAGCCGAGAATGTGGCCTGACTTGTTTGGGTCTTGGCGAGATGCGTATACCGTTCGGCGAGCTTGGGGGTAAGTGAATGTGTGCCAAGTAGTCCCTGTTTTTCTGATACTGTTCTATGTAGAAGGACGTGGCATCAGAACTTGAGATGGGTGAGCGCGCTTGACCAAAATTTGCGCATATATCAGCTGAAAATGCGTGTTCGTGCCAGCTCCTTGCCCCTCTTGGTGAAGTGACATCATTTGTTCTTGGGTTCAAACGTGGTACATCAGGATCATTCTACGCACAGATTTACGCTGCGTTCTTATTCTCAGGCCTCGTACATTCGGGAGGGGATATCGTACTCTCTGGATCCTCCACCTCCGCTCACTCACGGCCGTTTTTCTCGATGTCATTCTTTTTCTCGCAAGCAGTCGTTATTACCCTTGAAGACATATCAATCCGGACCGCAAGACGACTGGGAGTCAAGGATAGCATTTGGACGAGAGCCTTGGGGTTTGTTTGGGTCGCGATATGGTTTGGGTGGTGTGTGCCTGAATTCGTCGAGAATATGATCAGGGCGGGTGGGGGAATAAGGAGTTCTGCCAGCAGAGTGGGTGGGAATGATATGGGCCTCAATTTGGTGCAAGCCGCGATGGTTGGAATATTTGTGTTTGATACCGGGGAGTTTGCTGAATCATGGTTTGGGGTATGAACTGAGATGATGACAGGGTTCTTGACATAACCTTGTTTATCGCTTACCTTTCTGAACCATGAATCACTGAACGTCCGTAATAGTCATACTGGCACTTGGAAGGGCGAAGGGTAATCGCTAACGGGATAAAACAGTACTGAGTCCGACTTGGTAGATACTGATGGTGCCTGGCCTCATCACAAGTCGCTGACTCGATTATACATGGCTGCGGTCCATTACTAGAACATATGCCAAGCACCTGCAACGATGTGAGTTTGTTCAATACTGCATGTCATACAAAGCTACTGACATATGTTCAAGTATGTATGGGCCCGCGGTTTACAAGCATTGCCATGGCAGAACATGCCAGAAGTCAGTGTCAGTGATATTTTTGATCAATCACGAGGATCCATCATAATGGGCATTGATGACTGGACCTGTGTTAACTTGCTCCCCATCGAGATTTGTACAAGCAGCATCAACTCCCACGGCGACCAATCAATTCTAGGGGTAAGTGAATGTATTGATCAGTGTTCTAATTATCTATGTATGAGGACATGGTACCAGGCGATCTTTCACACCATGGTAGAAACATCTCAAATTTATGACTGTGCCGCATTTCTCGCCCCCACAGCGACTTGATCAATATTATAATCTCCGTTTCTTGCATCCTGTCGCGAGACGCTCGTGTTTATAGGACAGAATACCACACTGTCAGGATCTTCTACCTCCACTGGTTCACGGCCCTTCTTCGATGTCATTCTTTCTCTCGCGAGCATTCGTCATTGGAGATGCTCATCGTACTGCAAGACAAGTGAGTTAGAACAGCGTACGGAATTTTTTGGGGTATGTTCTGGGTTGCAACATGGTTTGGGTAATGCGCAATGCGCATGAAGGTACGTCAACTGCAGGTGGACGAGAAAATAAGGCCATCTATAGCTTAGAGTGGACGTGGCGTGGTTGGTTAGGGTTTGATATCAGATTGCTGAATTTGATCGGCTTGGATCGTGGGCGGATATGAAGGACAAGGGTGATGGCATCATTGAGCATTGACATGCCATATGGTTGTCAGAGCGTTATCTCAGAAGATAAAAGGCGGTGTCTTCATCCTCGTGGATCAGATCTGCTGCGTGTTACGAAACGCGGGTTTTCTTAGGTACGGCATTCTGACATGCAGTGTCTTCTGTACTAGTATACATGCTCACCATTGTTGAGTGGTATATCCAATTCAGTCTAAGAGTCGAAGATGGCTCGTACATGTAGTTATTAGTCACTGACACCTACATTCTCCGGACGTCAATAGAATTATGGGGGGCGTCTGTCACTTGAGGATAATGCGTAGGTTCAAGGATCAGGTGAGAGACTTCGTGTTAGTAATTTCATGTAGGTAATATAGGGCTCAGCCCCAAAACAACAATAAACAAGAACACTGCGAGATCACAAATATCGAGTAGTATGCGTGGCGCCCACAAGATAGAAAACATATACTGGACCAAGGTGCAGACTCATTCGGTGTGAATTCATACCCAGTGCTCTGCGTTTCGATAGATATACCTTGCACCTATTTGGCAGCTAGCAGCGCCGCATCGGCTATTTCTGTCATTCTTATGACCGCCTCTTCTTCCAAAGTCCGACCGACAAGTTGCAAACAAACAGGAGCGTTCTTGAATTTCTCCGGATCGTCTGAATCAATAATCAGGCATCAGAAAACCATATGTTAAACACTGGCACTATACTCACACATTTCGTAAATGTCCTTATCGATATCGTTGTGGAAAGCATGAGGGCGTGCCTTCCTATCGAGAGTGGAATCGACAGTAGTCACGGGGAAAACAGCAGCAGGGTAATCGAGCGCATTCCACACAGCCGTGTAGTCAAGATACCTGCTCATTGCTTCTCAATGACCTGAGTAAATCATTTTGTAATTACGGACACAAACCTGTTCTTGCCGTGGGGTGTTGCTGCAAACGGTGCAGCTGGACAAATGATAGCGTCGACAGGCCGTCCTGTCCCAGTCTCTGACACAGTTGCTTTCCAGTGGTCTAAATATTCTTTCCGTATGTCTTGACGCAGCTTTTGCACTTGCCAGAGCTGGTATACGGACATACCATCATTCTGCGGACGGAAGGATGCTACCGCGGCATCTGCGATGTCCAATTCCATCGTTGTAATTATTGGCTCCCCTGTGACAGAGGTCGTGGTCATATATTCCTCAGTAGAACCGGCGTTCCAGATAGTCACGCTGCACGGTGCTACTAGGTCAATAGATAGGCATAGTAAAATATATGACTGCTTACCGCGATATCTCCAAGCGTTTTGTGCTTAACGGGTTTCCAGTCAACAACTACCACACATGAGCACGACATTAATTCAGCGGATTGGACGAGAAAACCTTTGTGGCCCGCCTTCAGAAGAGCTGCTTTGGTGATTTCCAGAGACCTCCTGATAGGTGGGTGGGGAACAACGACACCATCGTCCCACATGATTGCAAAGCACATATTTTTGCCAGACCCATGGTCCACAAGATTGTACTCGTCTTCATCCCACTTCTTCCGAACCACAAGAGGGTCATAGAGCCATGGTTTAGCGTTAAGCACAGCTTTCATGAAGACTTTCACACCGATAACACTGTTTGTCATGGGACCTAGCACGGGGAGAATTGAGTCTTGGCCGTCGAGTGTGTTACGAGTACCATAGCACGGTACACGCCCGTATGATGGTCGAAGGGCGTATAAGCTGCAGAACGCAGAGGGAATACGAATGGAGCTATCATGAAGCCATCAGAAGGTTGCCACTGCTATATTTAAATCATTTTTATACCCTGCAAGGTCACCACCAACTCCCAAAGGGCTTCCCTTGAGAGCAACCAATGCACCCTCTCCTCCTGATGACCCACCAGAGGTCAGAGAGCGGTTGTATGGGTTTGTCGTCCGGCCGAAGACATAGTTGAAGGATTCTGGCCACTGAAGATACTTCTAGCCTACGAGTGGATCTATGTCAAGGGCAAGGGTTCGCTCACTGCAAGTGTTTGCGGAACGTTAGTGCGGACAAATGGCACGGCTCCGCACTCAATCAGAATGTCGACCAGTACTGCGTTTTTATCCGCGTACTGCCCAATCCACGAAGCATACCCTAGAATATGGTGAATCATAGTGCGTTAGGCCTATGCCAGAATTATTACTTACCTATAGTAGTTTCTAGTCCTTTAATACATAGTTGATCCTTTAAGGAGATCGGCAGCCCGTGAAGGGGACCAACAACTTTCCCTGTATTCTTCAAGTAATCATCGAGTTCAGCCGCTCGGGCCAATGCACGATCAACAAAAATTTCCGTTAAGCAATTGACCTCGTTGGCTGGTTAATACAACGATGTTGTCAAACAAAGCCGCCTTGCTATTTGGCTTACGAGTTGGTGAGCAACAATGGCCCTCTTGTAGAACGCGGTGGTCACGTCTACAGCTGACCATGCAGCACATGCAAGTTTCTCCAACAAAACGTCTACTGAAGTATTGGTGATCTCAATTTCTCTCGGGTTCAGAAGGCCACACGTCTCTGGAAAAGCAGATACGTCCAGAGTAGAGTCTGAAGGCGGAGTCACAACCCACTCGTGTGGAATGGATTCCGACTGCCTTTGCTTCTTCTCTGCGACTAGAGCAGTCCAGTGCGGTATATCTGTGGGGATGGAGTTGTTCATAGCTCTACTGGTAAGTAGAAGAAGAAGAGTCGTTACTTATTTGATAAGAATAAGAACATGTATAAGGATTTAAACGGACAATCCCGGGAAGCTGTCTTCGAGGAGCAAGACTTCAACGTCACTGTAAGTATGGAAAGCCGGAGCACACCGTGCTAGGATCAGCTTCGACAAGGACTCCTGACACGCCTCCGAACAGGTACGCAAATAATCCCAGGCTCCTTCGTAGCATACTAGGTGAGGGAGGTTAAGGATTTGAATTGTTCACCTGATTTCAGATAGCCCTAGTATGCCACCTCACACTGAGTCGAAGCGTAGGGAAGGAGCCTGAAATAATCCAGACTTTGAGCAAAGTAAACAAAGCGAAAGAAAGTGGTAAATTTACCCGGCAAATTCCCGGAACCCTAGTGTTCAAGGGAACTTGCTAGTTGCTACTTATGCACACTCCATGATGGCATTTCCCGAGAAATGCCTTTCGAAAGCATCAAAAATGCCAAGTCTAGACAGAGATTTGGTCAAATAAGACCTCAGACATCTACGATGGAACATGCTGAAACCATGTGCCCTGGACGCCCTCTGCCCTGATAACAAATTGGAGGTACATGAAGACAAGTGACCGCCTTCGTTGGTTTTCGAGTTGATTCATCATCAAGTTTGCAGCGATGTGGTCAGGATCATCTATCGTAAGTCGTGTCTGAATCTAGTTCTTGTTTAGCATAAAGTCTTCACATCCAAAACTAGGGTGCTACTGGCTCCAGCTCTGTCGAGGAAGCTTCACCAGACCCATGCAATATCGTCATTTTCGGAGAAACAGGAGCTGGCAAAAGCTCCTTGATCAATTTAATCGTTGGGCCAGGAATAGCACCGGCATCCTGCGACGCTGAAGGATGTACAGTTGAAACTAAGGAGTACTTATACGACCTTGCGATTCATAGTAAGACCTTGAAGGTAAAGTTTTTCGATACAGTCGGTGAGTTAAGGGCGCCGCTCTTTGTGGGTATTGCTGAACTAGATTGCAGGTCTTGGTGAGGGCCCTGAGGGCAAAGTCCCCGACAAGAAAGCTCGGAGACTTTTGAAGAACCTCCTTCGAAGGCTTATGAAGCAGGACGGTATCCATCTCCTCATGCATTGTATTGATGGCAAGAAGCAGGGCACGAAAGCGATCAAGGCACTCTGCCGTCACTACGAACTATGTAGCTTCGAAGTCAAGAAAAGAGTCCCAATCGTCCTCGTCGTCACACGTTTGGAAAACATAGAACCAGAAATGGAGCAATGGTGGAAGAACAACGAGTCCTTCATTTCAGAGCATAACATGACCTTTGCTGGCCATGCGTGTATCACCACGCTGACCGATGATGCAACGCTCAAGGAGCGCCACGAGCTGTCATATCTCAAGGTCTGCAAACTTATCGCGGAATGTCGTACAAGGTACCGTGTTTCCATATGCTCATTTTATTGTATATTCATTTATTAATCAGGAATGGGCGCAAGAGGAGCGGGCACAAAAAGAATGGGTCTAAAAAGAACGGGCCTAAAAGGAAGTTGTTCAAAAAGATAACAAGGACTGCGCCCCAGAGGATCGAAAGCAACAAGCCTAAGAATATCGTACTCTTCGGGGAGATGTGGGCAGATAAAAGTTCACTTGTCAACCTTATGGCAGGGAAGGAAGTGTCAGTCGCATTTCCTGACATGCAACCTCGTACGATGCACTGGGAAGACTACACCATCACATTTGGAGACGAGACTTACAAGGTGTTCGATACTATTGGACTTCAGGAACCGCAGCTAGGGATCGAAGAGTACCTCGAGTCTGTCGACGGCGCCTACAGGCTCATCAAGGAATTGGATCGACAAGGCGGCATTGATCTGCTTCTGTTCTGCATTCGACCCTGCCGAGTAAATGCTACGCTTTACAGCAATTATAAGCTGTTTCACGATTATCTCTGCGAGGGGAATGTTCCCATTGTTCTTGTGATCACACACCTCGAAAGAGAGATGGAGGGCTGGTGGGAGGGAGTACAGAGTAAGTTCGAACGTTATGGGATTCTGGTTGCTGGTTACACGTGCATTTTCGCCGCTGATCGATCGGATGGCCCATACGAAACGCGTGAGTATGAAGCCACGATCCGTCATCTTGTGGAGAAGTTTACTGCCAACGGGCGGAAGTCGGCATGGACAGGAGGGGACAATCTGTTTGTATCATTGATGCGTAAACTGAAGGAGCTACCTGGTGAGCATTTGCGTGTGAAGGGGATGAGTATTGTCTCTCGCCTCATGAAGCGTTGCGATACGTCTCGACGAGTCGCAAGAAAGTTGGCTTATATGATCAAGCAAGACGCGTCTACTAGTTGAGTTCTTTTTAATAGTCACTGCAATAGGCTTTGTTCATGTCGATACTTGACACTTACAGACTCGGGAGCTGATATGTATTTATGTCAGTACACAATGTCACAACTTGGTTCAAGGACGCCCGGTTTAGTGTTCTAATATTGATATTGTCAGAAGAGAATGCACGCACGCACACATCTCAATTTATCTACTCCGAGGACCTCTGGAACATCCTATGCATACGCATGCATGCAGCATGCTGAATTCGTGCCTTGGGTTCGATATTTCAAGCTTCAAATTAGATCCGGCAGTGGCTGACGCCAGTTGTAGGAGAAATGAAGATACCGGTACTACAGGTATGCATGGAACGTGCTGAATCCATTCTTTCGATCTTCAAATCTGGCTTCTGGGCAAACCTAGACCCATCCACGTTGTTCTAACATGAAGAAAGTCTGGCGACCCTAATTAAAACACAAGTCAAGATGTGACCTCGCTGTTTTGTCTCTCGCATTGAGTTTCTTCAAGTTGGCAATGCGGACATCCAATGTAAGCTGTGTCCACCTCTCCCTCAGCATCAAGTCACTGACTTGAAGCCTTGACACCCCACATCAGGGCGCTGCCGGCTCCAACTATGCTGAAGAAGCTTCATATTGCACAGACACCTGCAGTGTTGTCGTCTTCGGAGAAACAGGAGCTGGAAAAAGTTCATTAGTCAATTTGATCACTAAGAGCAACAGAGCGCCGACATCTCGCGATACCATGGGATGTACAGCTGAAACCACAGTGTACGAGCACGAGGTCTTGGTTAAGAACCAAACCTTGAGGGTAAAGCTTTTCGATACACCTGGTCAGTGCAGATCACGCTTGTTGTGGGTGTCATTCAATTAGATTGCAGGTTTGAATGAGGGCTCCGAAGGCAGAGTACCCGATGACGAAGCTCGAAAAGTTTTGAAGCATCTCCTTCGAAAACTCAAGGAGCAGGATGACATCCATCTCCTCATTTACTGTGTGCATTACACGAAAGCGGTCAAGGCGCTTTGCCGCAATTACAAGTTTTGCTCCTCCGAAGTGACGACAAGATGCCCCATCGTCCTTGTCATTACAGGATTGGAGAACAAACAACCAGAGATGGAAGAATGGTGGAGAAACCACGAGCAATCCATCTCACAGCTCAGCATGCCCTTTGCTGGTCACGCGTGTGTTACCGCACTAGCCATGGACGAATGTACGACAGACAGGCTCAAGTTGCGCCATGACCAATCATACTATGCCATCTGCAATCTTATCGAGGAGTGTCGTGCAAGGTACGGTGTTTGATGCTCTGTGGTGGTTTTTCTAATCATCTTAAGTAGGAACAAGGCCAAAAATATCGTAATCTTTGGGGAGACGGGGGCAGGTAAAAGCTCGCTAGTCAACCTCATGGCGGGGAAGGAGGTGGCAGTCACATCTCCTGACACGCAACGCTGTACCATGCACTGGCAAGAGTACACCATCGACTTTCATGGCGAGCCTTATAAGGTGTTCGATACCGTTGGACTCGAGGAAACGCAGCTGGGGATCAGAGAGTACCTCGAGTCAGTCGACAACGCCTATAAACTAATCAAGAAATTGGACGCAGAAGGCGGTGTTGATCTGCTTTTGTTCTGCATTCGTGCTGGCAGACTCACTGCTACAATTCAGAGCAATTACCGGCTATTTCACGAATTCCTCTGCGAAAAGAAGGTTCCTATTGTTCTTATAATCACGCACCTTGAAAGAGAGGCGAGGATGGAGGACTGGTGGGAGAGACAGCAGAATACCTTCGAAAAAATATATGGGATCCGGGTCGCTGATCACGCATGTATCACTGCCGCTAACAGACTGGATGGCAAACACAAAGAGCATTATGAAGAATCACGCGTCACGGTCCGCACCCTTGTGGAGAAGTTTACTGCTGATGAACAGAAGTCATTATGGACAGGAGGGAACAGACGGTTCGTGTCATTCATGCGTAAGCTGAAAGGATTTCTCCCAGAGCCTTTGGATGTGAAGAAGAAGGATATCGTCTCTCGTCTCATACAGCGTTGCAGTTTGTCTCCAGACGTCGCAAAACAGTTGGCTGAGATGATTAAGCAAGTCCAGTAGAAGTAGTTGTTCTCGTTTCGATACAGATTTTATGCTCGTTGATAAACGTACACTAGGACTTCCCATTTGCTCGCGAGTCTATTTATATTTCAGCATGACAGTTTGAAAGTATGCTCCATGTACACTTACATGCATGTAGACTTTAATTCGCTGCATGAAACTTCGAAAGATCAATCGAGGCAAAGCGTCCCTCCCCACAATAATTGATTGAAATTTGAAAACAACCATCCCTTGGTCATTTCGAAGGTCGAGTGTGTCAAAGGTTCAAGCACTCAACACCACGAATTACGTCTGTATTGAGGATGTGTGCAGTGAACATTCCAACCAAACATAGAAAGTTCAAGTGATCTACTCCACCTATACTATAACATCTGATTCAGAGAATGAAATGGGTTGTGTGTATGTGGGCTAGAGAACAAAGAAAGGACATGGAAGCGCAGATCAACAAAACACAATAAATGCGGGCGAGGAAGATGAGCAGAGGTTGTAAACTGTTATGAATATGGCAGGCCTCCCCCGCCAGACCCATTCCCCCCTCCCATCCGCCGTGGGGGACGACCACCAAATGGTGGACCGGAGCCCATAGGAGCCACGGGTCGTGGCGGTAGATGAGCAGGATGGTCCATGGTACGAGAAGTTTGACGTGGCGGGTGCATCCCACGGGGAGGATACCCAGCACCGTGGGCTGGTGGACGTCCGAAAGGGGGGTGCTGGCCACCGGGATGTTGGTTACCAGAATGCCCAGGATGTTGACCTCCGGGGTGCTGACCCCCAGGATGTTGACCACCAGGAGGCAGACCACCACCTTGATGCTGCAACAAAGCGGACACGATAACAGGCGGCGGCGGACCTGGCCTGAACGCGTCGCGATGCGGCGGTCCACGAGGATGGAACCCGGGGGGCTGATTTGGCAAAGGATGGGGCCTGAAGTAGCCATCAGGAGGCATAATACCTGGTGGCGGCTGGTTGCGTCGCCCACGTTTATCGAATTCGTGGGAAGCTTCGTATGACGGAAGACTGAGTGGATAAAGGGTGAAGCGGAGCAAGCACGAACAAATCAGCAATACTCACGTTTTGGGGTCAGCGGGAAGTGGGTCAGTCCAGAAATAATCGTGGTCGAGGGCTTGTGAGGCAGTAATACGATCCCTTGGGTTGCATGTGAGGAGCTTATCCAAGAGATCACAGGTCTCAGGGCCAATGCTTACAAAACAGTTAAGCATTAACTAAAAGCGTTGCAAAAATGAGAGCTGACCTTTCATAGGCGGCTCTCAGCTTTTTGGAATAGGTCTGATTGAACCGCTTTACGCCCTCACACCCTGGCAGTGCATCGTAATTTGGCCAGGTATGCTGATTCGGAGTACCGCATAACTGCCAAATCTTCTCCAATTGGTCAATGTCCGACGATCCAGGAAGAATCGGCCTGCGCATAAACATCTCTCCCAGAACACATCTGCAGAGAAGAATTCAAAATTTGTCCCAAAGACGTCGACAAACACAAACCCTATGCCCCATATGTCTACTTCTCCACCATACTGTCGGGCGCCGAGTAGTAGTTCTGGAGGACGGTACCACCTCGTTACGACACAGTTTGTATACTTTTTCTCTCTTCCACGCTGATCCACGACTCCGTGGATAACGCTCGGGTCATACGCGCGCGCTAGACCAAAATCTGCTATCCGGAGCGAGCCGTTGTTATCGATGAGAAGATTGGCAGCTTTCATGTCTCGATGTAGGATGTGATTCTGTGAACGGACATAAGACAGAATAGAGGGTGAGAATATGAGGACAAACACGATGCATATATTCCGTTCCTTCCAAAAGTTGTTTCATGTACAATTTGATGTGGCTGGGTTGGAGCTTTACACGCTCATTCTCCAGTAGGCCAGCAAGGTCGTGGTCCATGTATGGAAATACCATGTAAACAGAGAGGGGCGAGTTCTTGCCATTGCCTGGTGCACAATGTCGGCGACTGACATGCAATGAGCCAATATGAGCACTCACTACGGACGACGAACATATCCAAGATCTCGATAATGCATGGGTGATTCATTGCCTTGAGAATTTTGATCTCGCGCAAGGCAGTTACGGGCATGCCCTCTTTCTCATTATGCATAAGAATACGTTTAAGAGCCACCAGACGCCCAGTGAGGTGATGGACTGCTTTGTGGACCTCTCTGAACAACGTGAGCAGTTGCGTTCAGTAGCAGTGCAAGAGGCCTGATACATACCCAAAAGTGCCTTCACCGAGTTTCGCAGTGGCATCGTAGTCGCTTTGTTGGCCACAACCTAAAAAGAGATGACCGTATGCCTCTTGCTCTTGCTTCCTCGTACGCTGCACAGGGACCCGTTTCCGCTTATGTTCAACAGGGGGTAAATTTTGTGTTGCGTCCACTGCGCTATCCTTCTTCGCCTTCACCGGCTCTTCATGAGCCGACGGAAGTGGAAGTGGAGATGGAGAATGGGTGTCTCTAGGTGCTGGAGGCCGTTTCAAAGGAATTGCAATCGAGATAGCTGCGTGAGGAGGTAGAGTATCATCTTTGGGTCGTTCAGGAGTGGGGACGGGAGGTGGTGGAGAGGGTGGTGGTGGTGGTGTGTGGCGAACGTGTATCTGATTTGAAGCCGAAGGTGATGGAGGGGAAGGTTGACGAGACACATCCGGGGAAACAGGATGATCCTGATTGTCACGGACATCATCGTGAGCACGAGGTGCTACAGAAAGACGACTCTCCGTGTGATAGGTATCGCGATCAGCATCACGTCCTGCTTCAATGTGATTTGGATCATAAGAGTCCCATGAACGTTCGCGTTCGCGACGCGGCGAGTGGCGCATAGGACGGCGATAGCGGTCGTCCATCCGTGAGTAGTTGTCATTGTCCGATGGTACCCCCCACCGATTATGGTCATTATGACGGGCGCGTTCCCAGCCCCCATCACGCATCCTTTGGTCATGTAGTCTATCCACGCCATAGTCACGACGAGGCGGACTATAATTCACCATTGGAGAGCGACGTGAGGGTAATCTGTGCTTTCCTCGGTGTGAAGAAGAAGAGGAGGACGGGGAACGAGAGCGGTCAGGTGAATGAGGTGACAATGAAGAAATATCGCGTTCCCTTCCATAGACACGACCGTCATATCTATCCCGTGCTGGAATATACGTGTCATGAAGAGGTCTATAAGGTTCCCGTGGAAGATCCCAGGCAGGGGGACGACGGTCGCCTTCCCTACTATAGGAAGGCTGCCAATGATTAGTTGTTTGGACGCCACCCCTTTTACGAGACTGATCATAGTAAGGCCTGGGTCTGCCGTTGCGCTGGTCATCCTCCCGAATGCGCCTCTCGTCGTCTTCGGATCTCTCATAGACTGAAGCATGTCTTCTGTCCATCATAGGACTAATTCTTTGAGTAGAGGGACCAGGAACATCTGTACCATTTGTTTTCTTCTTGAAAGGAAACTTGACCTTAGTCTCGAACTTGGAAGGAGCTGGTTTGGGCGGTAGGGGAATTATTGTTGGGCGCGGAGAAGGTGGCAAAGAGTCATCGACTTCGCCTTCTTCTGGCGACGATGTGGTAAATCTCTTCGCTGGACGTTCATTTTGAGGGTTATCTGGAGCTACCCGTTTGTTTGAGGTCTGAAGCATTACACAGCCGGTGACGAAGAACGAATGCGACCACAGGAATTGAAAGCAACTCTCGGAGAAAAAGGTTGGCTGACGTAATATTAATACATTTCAATATGAGTCAAGTGACAAGTTTAGCTTTGACATGCACATTGCACATGGCGCTATCTAACGGTGACCAGATCAAGGAGATTATCGTTATTGGTGCAGGCGTCGTCGGTCTCACCACAGCGTTGAAAATCCAGGAGCAGGGCACCTATCATGTCACCATCGTTGCTGAGACCTTCCCCACAGATCCGAAGTCAAGCAGGTACACTAGTCACTGGGCGGTGAGCAGTTATCTCACAAGAAGTGTTCAAATTTGCAGCTGATACAGCGATGATGATCATAGGGGGCACATCATGTCAGTCATGCTTATGATGATCAAAGACAGCGAAGTATGCTGCTTTTTGACTGCATGAATAAACATGTCACACCCTAGTCGTACAGAGCTTGATCAAGATACCTTCCATGCATTATGGAAGCTATCAGAACCAGGTGGTGCAGCCGAGGGTTGTTTCTTTCGGCACACCCAAACTGAATATCACGGAGACGACCTCGCTGATGCCGAATGGCTTCATTATATGCCAGATGTATGAACACAGGCTCGCATTCGTGATCGTCATTCTAACTCGTATCAGTTCAAATATTTAGATACGAATGAACTTCGTGGTCCAGCAAAGATGGGCTTCTCATTCAGCACAGTCACCATGAACACCCCAGCCTATCTTAACTGGCTTTTGTCCTCTTTCCTTGCAAACAATGGGACTATTCTGCGCGTGTCCCTGCAGCACATCAGTCAACTTCTCGAGCGAGGAACCAGTCCGTACACGGGTGCCCATTCTTACCGTGACGTTGATGCTATTATTGTCTGCGCCGGTATTGGTGCTCGCAGCCTGGGAGGCGTTGAAGATAAGGACGTATATCCAATTCGTGGGCAAACTGTGCTACTCAGGGCTCCTTGGATCAAATTCGGGAGGACTATGACTGAGGCTGACGGGACGTACACTTATACAATGCCAAGAAGCAATGGCGATGTGCGCTTTCTGAGAGTCATACAAGATATGTTCTCTGACTTTTTGATAAATATAGGTACTGTGCGGCGGTACGAGAGTACCCAATGACTGGTAGTTTTTTTTTTTCGAATTATCATCTTGTCAAATTCTCAGCTATTACAGGTACCCAGTTCCGCGTCCTGAAACAACCGAGGACATTCTTGCGCGGGCCCTGCAGCTCACTCCAGAACTTGCACCCCCACAGACACGTGTTGACCGTGAGCCCACCGTCGAGGACATACGTCCCATCATTATTGAACCAGGTTGCGGTCTGCGCCCTGGGAGAAAGGGTGGCATCAGACTCGAAGTCGAGTGGGTTGACACGCCCGCGCGAGGTAAAGTGCCTGTGGTGCATAACTACGGGTGAGTGACGTTACATTCATATATACTACCTTAATTATGTGCACATACTC